TTTTTTTTTTTTGCCCATATTTTGTTTGTTTAAACAAGGTCATCCACTTCCTAAAAACAGGATCCAGTGACCGTTTGTGACCGATTATGACTCGTTGTGACTGTTTGTGACCAATTATGATCGATTGTGACTTGAAATTCTGAAAAAATTTTGGAAGTTAGGAATTGGTGGATGGGGTGGGTAGGTTGATCGGAGCATGCGTTGGAGTGGTCATTGGAGTAGTTTGCCAGGGAGATCGTGAATAGCCGTCAGAGAGAGCGTTGGGGTGATCTTCGGAATAGTCGTCGGAGTGGCTGTCGGAATTATCACCGGAGTGGCCGCTGGAAAGATCGCCGGAACTATCGCCGGAGTAGATCGTCGCCTCCGATGGAGAGAAAGGGTAGGGAGAGGATTGAGAGAGAGAGAGAGAGAGAGAGAATGATTTGGATTTGAAATTTAATAAATTGGGGTAATTGTATTATATTATAATTAAAAATATTTAATTAATTGACTTAACACCTGATTTTTTAAAAGATTTTTGAAGTTTGTTATTTTTTAAATGTAATTTTTATATATAAGATTTATGTATTGTTCCCATTTATAAATAGGGTCTANGATTTAACACCTGATTTTTGAAATGATTTTTGAAGTTAGTTATTTTTGAAATGTAATCCTTATGTATATGACTTATGTATTGTTCCCAAAGGTGAATGCAATCAAATGGGCCAAAATTAATAGTCTCTACTTCACCCTACAGTCCCGTCTGATTCAATTCGCTATTTTTCCTCCAACATTAGGATGGGAAAAAATAAAATCTCAAATTGCTCAATCAAGAATCGATTAACTTGAACAAACCATCACGACTTATTATATATTTGGTAGTAAAATTTGGGGAAATGTCAACTAATTTGTTTTATGCTCTAATCATGAGGGCAAATGTATGTGAACTTTCGACTATTTCATTCTCGTTTACTACATTTATTGATTGTCAATTTTCATATTATTTTGTACAATTCTTCAGTTGATATTCAAGAAATAAAAATGTATTTCGAGAATTCTTCCTTTTAGTGGAGCTTGAAAATTCCGCACCCTACCATAGAAGCATGGGTTGGAACTTCCAATTATCTTTAATTTCTTTTCGTAAAAGTAAGGTATACGGGCAAACTTTATCTTGACACGTCAACTTACCATTGGCACGATATAAATATTCTTGTCTCATTCAAATGGGTCAAATATTAATCGAATGTACATTTATAATGCTTAGTATTTTATTATACTATTTAAACAAATTATGACCCCGTTTTAAGACTAAGATAATGGCCAAGCATTTACTAAAATTTGATGTCCACTGACAAACATGTCGACAAATTGATATATCGACTTTTGTCCACAAGTAAATTAGTATGTGAATTATTGCTGAATTTATTAATTTTATCAATAACTATTGTAAATAATTTCATGAAGATATAGTCAGAAAGTGTGTACAATCCACTTCATCATGTAAACTTAGTGTTGTTTGTAAAAAAATAAAAAGTTGATAAAAAATTTGAGCGAATGTATTTAATTAATTTTAAGCAAACATTCGTAGGATTCACAGTTTTTTTTTTCAACTTTTCGATCACATTTTTCATTCATTTTTATCAAAATCTGTTAAAACTTTTCAAACAAGCCCTAATCTACTACTTAACACGCTCCATAATTGATAGACTTCAAATTTCTTTTATTATCAAATATTGAAAAGATTTTGAAGACGACCTAGCTAAGAATTTCATAATTTCTATTAATTTAGAAAGATGAATGACTCGTAAACACATGCTTCAATTGAAAAGAGTATTGCATTGTGAGTTCCTTTCATTTGCTAACAAGAATTAATTTTAGCAAATAATTAGGAATATGAAGTGTAGTTTTAACTTTTTATTGTACGTTCCACCTATGGATGGTATAAGTTCTCTTTTATTGTACTTTATTATTAATCAAACATGCCACCTAGACTAGCTCAATAATAATAAAAAAATACAGATTTAATGATGATTCAATTCTTAAAAGTTCATTCAAGTTCTTACAAGAATTCATTTATTACAAGCTAAAAATTGTTGAATGTATGATTACGACTATTAATCAGTGTTCTAAAAAGTGTGTCTAGACGGGAAGCGTGATGAAAATGATTTGCCTTGAGCTTAAGCGGTCAACGACAATGTTGACTGCTTAATGCTCGCCTAGGCATTCCTAAGAGACGCATGGGCGTGCTTTCGCCTTGAGTCTAATCGGGAATTAAGCGGTCAACGACAATATTGATCGTTTAATGCTCGCATAGGCATTCCTAGGCGACGCCTAAGTGCGCCTCCGCCTCAGGCCCAGATTTTAAGGGGGCCAATTTTTTTTTTTTTTAATAAAACCCACAGCCCAGACTCAGTAGCCCACTATCCCTTCAAATTTCAAAAACTCCAGACTCCAGAGAACTGAGAATATGGAAGAACGGGAAAAAAAAAAAGACGAAAGAACGGCGCAAAATCTCTCAATTTCTCCGCACACCGCACTGATTTGGGTATCAGGTACGTAAAAGAAATGATCAAAATGAAATAAGGGAACTCGAGAATGATGATTTTGTATCGGACGATACGAAGGACGAATTAGATG